TTCCCCGGGGGGGGTATAGGGTTGTCTTACAGTGCATGCGTGCAGGTGACCAGCCAATCTCTCCCCCCTCCCCCCTCCGGTCCATCTCCCTTTCCATCAGCCCCATAATCACCAATGTCAGAATGTCAGCCCCATAATCACCAATGTTACCTTGGGTAAGGAGGAGTGGAAGAACTCAACAAAGGTAGAGTAGGAAGGGAGGATTCAAAACTAGACGAAAGACGAGGTGAAGCCAGTCTTCGGGGGGGGGGGAGACGGGTGGAGGAGGGAGAGGAAACACTTGGCCCTCGGTTCTTTATCATGTTGTATATGTGCTCCACACCTAGTCCTAGTTCGTTGTCTTGTTAGGTATTACTACGAGGTCCTGTCTCTGTGTTTTGTCTTGTCCCCCTTTGTAAATGTTACGTGTTTCACAATTAATGTTATCATAAAATCAATAAAATTTAATTTAAAAAAAGAGGAAAACCCTTTTTTAACCTCTCCCAGGCAGTCTACTATCTAAGCCTTACTGATGTGGGTTCTACTACCGGATTCAAACTGCGTCTTGAGCACTAAGTAGACCTACCAGTAAAGGCTTGCAGATTCTCCAGCTGGAGTTCTTTGGGTCTGTAAAGCTGCTTTCCCCCGGAATTTCTTAAGAAACCTTTTAGGGCTGTTTCCCTCAGATGCTGTAAGGCTGAGAGGCTGTAAGCTCCCTGCCAGAGCTTTGAGACTGTTCTCCCCAGAATTCCCTGGAATTCTTAAGAAGTGAAGCTTTTCTGCGGGTGAAGCTACTCCACATCCTATAGCTTGGTTTCCTTCTGTAAGACTAACTAAAAATGGCTCCCTCTCCTCCCATGTCCCTGGGAGAAGGGGCGGATCCAAACTTAACAATGATAGACAGGTGGCTTGCCCCATGACTGCAAACCAAGGGAAGTCACCTTTTGCAAAATCCCTGAAGCCTTGGAATGCATGCAAACATTTAATAAAAAGAAAAAAAAGTTGGAGCTCCTGGTACAGACGTACCAGCATAATCATATATAGTGTCTTAAAGAGTTTTGTAGGGATGTGGACAAACCTACCTGAAAATATAGGGAACAAATAGATTTCTATGTAATCCTGAATGAGAAATGTTTTTAAAAACTAATCATTGGCATATAAATACAATTATAGCTGTTGCCTCCCAGTTTTAATAAAAGCATCAAATTGTAAGGAGTCTCCGTCTTGTTAAATGGCATTCTGACAGCACCAAGAGGGTTTGATTTTCTCTATAACGTAACCAGGCTGTTGACCTAATTTGAACACAACTGCGGCACTTTAATTGTTTCCACAAACTTAATTGACTCTTGGGAGTTCAACTATAAGAAGAAGCCATCTCAGTTTACAGGATGTGATGTGTCAATGTTTCATTAAAGACATGGAATGGCATTATCATAGTACATTATTTGTGTGATCAGTCTTTTATAATTGCTTATGCATACAGTGTAATACCCCCAAAGCAAAATACACATCACTTCTATAACTCAGAAATTACTTAAGGAACATAGGAATGGAATGCCAGATAATCATTAGCTCTGGCTTCATTATTCCTTTGAACTTGAAAGGTTGTCAGTGGCAATGTGGTGATGTCCCAGGATGTGTTTTGCTTCACAATTTCGTATCTCTATAACTTTTACAGCTCCACCAGATGGAGTCTAGCCAAATATAGTTTAGTGAGGTACTCAGAATTTCCTATTACCGCAATTCTAAGTAAACTCTAATCCTATTAGGTGGAGCCATGATAGTTAAAAAAAGCTCCCTGGTGGTGCAGCAGGTTAAACTGCTGAGCTGCTGAACTTGCTGACCAAAAGGTTGGCAGTTCCAATCCAGGGAGCGGAGTGAGCTCCCACTGTTAGTCCCAGCTTCTGCCAACCTAACGGTTCGAAAACATTCAAGGGTGTATAGATCAATAGGTATCGCTTCTGCAAGAAGGTAATCGCTTCATGCAGTCATGCTGGCCACATGACATTGGAGGTGTCTATGGACAACACCGGCCCTTCGGCTTAAAAATTGAGATGAGTATCAACCCCCAGAGTCAGACACAACTAGACTTAATGTCAGGGGAAAACCTTTACCTTTGCTTATGATGGTTAAAGTAGTACTAATGTAACACTACACTAAGACAGACACATGGAGGTAGTGTCAAACAAGACTTGTAGCAGGCTGCCACTCTGCTTAATTCACTTTCACTCACCACTGCTTTTATATTGTTTTGTCTGCCTTTTTCCCTAACTAGAGAAAATCTATTAAGAATATAAATAAGACAGGATAGCTTTACAGTGGTTTTGAATTGTGGGTAACCCTGTGTCTGGAAATGGCTGAGGTCTATGCAACTGAAGCTATTAAAAACTGAAATAATCAGTATGGCATGTTACAGGTATCCAGCTGGTAACAAATACAGTGTTGAGACATTTATTTATGTATGTTTTTATCAATTGCCAATCACATACAATACTACACTTCTTTCGCAATGCACTTTTTTCACAAGTGAAAGTCACAATCCTCAAGTTCCAGAAGGATTTATTTGATAAGAATCTTGCTGCATAAAATCAATTCCTTAAAAAAAGATTAAGAATGTTTGGAGGTTAACATTCTTTCTATTAGTTAATTTTAAAATATTTTTTCTATATCATCAACAGATATCAACATGGAGAATAACACAACAAACACCAAGGAGAAAAGCACTTGTGAAATAAAAGATAATCCTGCAGTAAAGAAGAAAGTGGTAGGTGATGTATTTTTGTATTGACATTAGTAAAATGGTGAACAGTACATTTGACATGGAGTATTTTGTGTGACATTTCTCCTAGTTTTCTTCAGGTAATGTGGATTTCATGCGCTTACAACTATACTTCTCTGATCCAAATCGGTTATTGTTAGCAGAGTGAAATTACATTTGGCAACTGAATTGGTATGAGGCCTCTTCTATACTGCCATATAATCCACGTTACCAAAACATATAATCCACATTATCTGCTTTGAACTGGATTATATGTGTCTACACTGCCCTATAATCCAATTCATAGCAGATAATCTGGATTTTATATGGTAATGCAGAAGGGGTCTGAGATGGGCCTTTAAGGATCATCCGTAGTTATAGACTATACTAATATAGTAACTCCATTACTGCTGGAAAGATATTGGATCTATGCTGGGCCTATGCTATATTCTAGGATTCCTCAAACTAAGGCCAGGGGGGCCAGATACGGCCCTCCAAGGTCATTTACTTGGCCCTCGCTCAGGGTCAACCTAAGTCTGAAACGACTTGAAAGCACACAAAGCACACACAAACAACAACAATCCTATCTCATCAGCCAAAAGCAGGCCCACACTTCCCATTGAAATACTAATAAGTTTATATTTGTTAACACTGTTTTTCATTTTAATCATTGTATTGCTTTTAAATGTTTTTTGCACTACAAATAAGATATGTTCAGTGTGCATAGGAATTCATTCATTTTTTTCCCGAATTATAATCCAGCCCTCCAACAGTTTGAGGGACTATGACCTGGCCCTCTTTTTAAAAGGTTTGTGGACCTCTGCTATATTCTAAGGAACTGGAACTGAAAAGCCAACAATGGAAAGAAAGCTGAAAAAGAGATGTGGAAATGCCGAGAATATCAGTTTATGTCACACAAGGTGGGGGCAGGACAGCTTATTATAGAAAGTAAAAGGTTTCAGGTTACCCTAAGATTTCTAAGCCACTATTTCCCTACCACCACTGTGAGGCACTGTTCTTTTGCAGAGCATTGTTGCATCCTAACACTTTTCCCTGCCAAGAAAGGCAGCCAAAAACTGGGCAACATTTGTTTTAGGGCATCAAATAGCCCAGGGAATACCAAAACATTGCCCAATGCTGTGATTGATTGGAGCAGCCCAAGGACAACTCCTAGTGGGATAGATACGCCCAAGGACAATTAGTCATGTATATTTCACCAAGAAAACAGGTAGAATTGATTTTATTAAATGTCATTACAAGGTTACCAAAATAATGAAAAAGGATCTATTGATAGTTTCTGTTCCATCAATCATTCCTAACTTGTGGAGGATTCTTCTATCTCATGTTGTATTATCCATTTTAACTTACTACATGTACTAGGCACAGGCAAACTTCGGCCCTCCAGGTGTTTTGGACTTCAACTTTCACAATTGTGGGAGTTGTGGGAGTTGAAGACCAACACACCTGGAGGACCAAAGTTTTCCCATGCCTGATATATACTCACCTAATACTGAGCAAACTTAGCTATGCATCAATATAAGCATCTTTGATAAAGAAGGTTGGTTTGCTACTTGGACGATGTTTCCAAACATGCTTGAATCTTGCTTTAAGAGCTGCTTGTTCCGTCTTCCAGGAGCTTGGTTTGCATTGCCCCTTAGTTGCATAAAATAGCATCCCTTTGCATTTTCCCCCAGGGTTGCTACAGTCTCAGCAGCACCCTGAAAGTTAAACATTAACAGAGGCTGGAAGCCAGCCTGCAAACCCTTTGCAGATATTGGTTTAAAAAGTATCCCTTTGGTCTAGAGACCGCCCTTTTTCCTGGGGATGAGATCTCCATTTTGGAAAGCTCTCCTGCCTTCTTTAGTATAGAAAAAGCCTCAGATGTGCTGGTGGCCAAGCTAGGCAGCTCGGACAAGCCATTGTGAGTACGGTTACCCTCTCGCCTTTGAAACTGGTGCTGAGCTCAGATAGAGAAAGACCTGCTCTTTCTAAAGGACAGTAGCTAGCGCTTGGGCAGGGAATATCTCAGGATTTCTCTGCCATTGAGAGAGGCTCCATTACTTCATCTCCAAAACTAATCTTGAGCTTAGATAGGGGAAGACCTGCTCTTTCTGAAAGATAACAGCTCAGGGTTAGGGTAAAAGATCCCAGGATTTTTCTACCGTTGGGGAAAAGTTAACTCGGTAACTGAAGGAAAAAGGAAAGAAAGAACATCTATATGGTTTCCCAAATTGACTGTGTTTGTAACTTCATCAAGCTGTGCCAAGTCTGTCAAGGACTTTGAAAAATAAATGTTCTGTTGATGTTCAAATCTGGACTGGCCTCAGTTGCTGAGAATCTTGAGCTTCTAAGAAAGGCACCCACAGTTCACCCAGATAAAGAGAGAAGCACATCTTAGTTTTAATTTTATAGTGTCTGGGTGTGACGGCACACTGATACTGTAGACCATTTTATAATAGTGACAAAATATGTCTTTCCAAATACTTATGTGTTAAAAACAGTTTTTAAATTGTTAAAAAGCCAGAAGGCTTTTAGGATTTGTGGGAGTTGATGACCAAAACACTCGGAGGGCCAAAGTTTGCCCATGCCTGATATATACTCATCTAACACTGAGCAAACTTAGGTATGCATCAATGTAAGCATTGCACACTAACACTTATCAGAAAAGGAACCATTCACTTATCTAACTACAGTGGTAAAAAGTTAAGTCTGTCCCGAGAGAATAGACTAACCTTTCTACTTTCTGTGCTGCAATACCATTTCTGGTATTTTATAATGTCTGGGAAGAAAAATGGTGATGTTTAGAGGCAACTAACATGGTGCTTTTCTGCAGAATGTATCTTGATATAGCCATGAGTCATATCAAAATCCATTATTTTGCTCCTAAGATCTGCAGTCGACTTATACATGAGTATATACGGTAACTTTTCAAATCTGCTCTCCTCATAAAGCTCTAATAAATCCTTTTCCTTAACATACCATTAGTAAGCCAGTTGTATTATGGCCCCACATTTTGCTGTCACTCTAGACATAAGCTCTACCATTGGGCTACAGAGTGCCTCCAAATGAAGGTCTACTAGCATTACACGACAATAAGTTTTCTCTAGCTTTTCCCTCTTTCCCTCCTTGACGTATTTATGTGAAAGGCAAGAAGAGTTTAAAAAAAACAAAGGCAAAACACAGCAAGGCCAAACATAGAAAACAAGGATGTCTCCACTTCATTCTGCTCCAGGACCCAGGTATTTAGAGCAGGGTGCTGTTGGTTGGTCCTCTGCTGGACTGAAGCACTGCCACTGTGGGTGACCTGAAAGTGGCATTATGAGACACATGCAATCCATGGGCAAAGCATATAGAAAGACTTTCTAGAACAGTGGTTCCCAACCAATGATCCATGGACCACCAGTGGTCCACAAGAACTAAAATATGGTCCGTGAAACACTAAAAATTTTAAACCTTTATTCATTTTAATGAATCCATTGGTACGTGGGCAGCACCGGTGAGTAGGACGTTGGTTGAGCATGGGAGGGCAGGAGAGGGCAAGTGATTGACATCATATGTCACGTACTCACACCACCCAGCATCACTCAGCCGTACACTTTATTTAGTCTTGCTCAGCTGTGTCAGTGATTCTGTTTTGCTGTTTAGTGATTCGAGGGCTCCAGTAATTTTACTGATCGTGAGTCCTCAATATTCATATTAATTTTTGACTTATTTAATGATGACTGGAAATGTTGGAGAGGTTGCAGAAGAAATCCAGGAAGAGCTCATTGAATTTCAAAATGATAGAAACTGCAAGGACATGTTTGAATCTGATTCTCTTGAGTATCTTGGTGTAAAAAAGCATTTTTTAATACTAAAGTTTGAGGAATCACCTTGTGCTATCTTATGCTCTTTTCCACAACTTGTTTATGCAACCAAGCGTTTTCTGCTTTGCTGGTAATTAAAAACAAGTCCAGAAATCGATTGAAAGTAAGTAAGCATATAGCTTTGAGCAATAATATTAGCCCCAGGATTACTCAACTTGTAAAGAAGATTACATTGATTTAATTTAATTTAATTTCCTATTTAAAATGTACTTGCTTATATTATAATAGTACTCTTAATTCATATTACTGTTAAGTTTAACAAATATGTTAAAAGTTTTGATTAACGTTTATTTTTAGATTAACACAGTTTATTATTCTTGATCTTTGTGTTCCCTGCAAACAACAAAAAATCAAAGTGGTGCCTGGTCAAAAAAAGGTTGGGTGAGACTGTTCTAGAAGATGTAGCATACCAGTGTTAAGGGAAATGACCCTAGGAAGGAAGGCAAAACCAATTAGGACAGAGGTTTACAAATATTTCATGTTGGTACACCATTTTGTGACACAGTAATCCAGATTTACTGAAAAACCGGAGGTTAAACCAGCCTCTTATAAGAGATACAGACACATATCTAAGTTGTAATAACAAAGTATTTGGAGACACAAAATATCTAATTAAAATCATTCATATATGATTTATTGCTTGTTTCACATACTTAGAGGTTTCTCATTACATTCACATGACACACCTACACACTGCAGCCAACACATGTCATGACACACAGTTTGAAAAGCTCTGGGTGAGGCAATGCAATGTACCATATGTATCGCTTTGTTGGTCTACATTGCAGTCAACTAATGCAGGCCTGCACAACCTGTGACCCTCCAGGTATTTTGGATTATTGTGCGTCCGTAGTCATGGATTATGTTCATCAATAGTAAGATAAGGGTTAATCACAGGGAGGAGGCAATTGCTGCCCATTCATCATATCCCCTCTAGCAATAACAGTCTCTAATTTCATCGTTTTCTTTATATAAATCTCATTCTGATTTTATTCTTACAAGAAACATTTGTGGTTGTTTCAGAGATCAAATTTTCTAATTATCATACCAGTTATCAAAATATGAATAAAACCACATATTTTTATAATGCTATAATAATAATTTAAACTTATTTTCTGGGCTGTTAGATGACTTACAATC